GTATAAACCAGTTTTTTTCCTAGAAACTACTAAACCTATTAGTGATTTATATCTAAGCAGAATATTTCCACAAGACTCTAACATACTTCTACTCCATCATGTAGATTATCATACTGTTGCAAATAATGGACTTCTACAATAACGTATTAGGTTGAACCATAAGATGTACACCTGAAATTTATACAATGTTATAAACCAATGTTACTGCAATAAACAAAAAATTAAAATAAATAAATAAATAAAGAACTAAACAATAGGCTTGTAAAAAAAATAAATAAAATAATAAAAAATAAAATCTCCTGCCAAACAAAAGAAATTACTGCTTTTGTAGTTCAAAATGGTCGGATATTGGTACCAATTTTCTAGGTCAAAAATGGTTGAATATTGGCAATTTCATATGGTTTAAACTTTATTATTGTCTGGCTGATTTTTCCCCCCATGTTTCTCATGAATTTAGAAATATACCAGAATACTCATCAGGAAAGCAAAACCTTTCTTGTTTGCTTAAGTTTAGAGCAGAAATAATTGAGTTCCAATTTCTCAGAACTAAATTTTCTTGTACAAGAACTTTTACCCCTTTATAAGCCTAAACTCCATATACTGCATCATATTCCAGGTGGCATCAAATGATAACAAATTCTTGGAGAACTGAACCTGATCTAGTTTCTGCTAAATATAGATAATCTTAGAATATATACCTGAAAGAAGCCAAACTTCCTTGCTATTGTTCTCCTCCTAGCACTTAATCACATCCTCTCTTCCTTTCCTATCCTTGAATTTGAGTGGCCTGGCTGGATAATTCAGAAGGAAGAGGGCACCCTGGATTGACATTTGACCTTCTCAAAATCCCAAACATTTGAAATGGCTTGAAGAATATTTTTTCATCTCATCCGATCTCTGAGGCTCTTGTATCTTGATAAATGCAAAGCAGCCCTTATAAACTAGATTACCACATATAAACTAATATCCAAACTATCTTTCACCACAACTTCAATTCTCCCCTTTTAGCTGGTCAGAATGTACATGAAGCAACAAACCTTCCAGATGAAGAAGGAAGAAAACCTTCCTTCTGTTCCCTTCTATATTCTCCAGCATTCCATTCCTTTCCTGATTTATGTCTGATCAGCAAAGCTGTGGAAATATTAAGCTTGTAAAGAGAGCTTGCATGTACAAAACCTATGCCAATTTTTTAAATCATACCCAACTGTAGGACAATGGTATAAATGCTCATCCTTATAAAGGAAATTCCATAATGGATTAAAATGATGAGTATCATATGTTTACAAATGGCAGTTCAAGTACCTCAATACCTGATATCAATATAGTTTGAAAAGAAAGGACATTACTTTATGCATAAATGATATGGATGAAATAAACTCTTCTCCAAATTATAGTAACTAAAAAATGTCAATGACCATTTATAATACTGTAGACCTTTAAGGATTTCAGCTCTAAATAAGCTGATCTGACTCATATGGACAGGGGTTTTGGCAAAAGTGGGATTGTCTAATATGTATGACACTGATTAAAAACATTCTAAATCATGATGTATCTATGCTTACATCATTGCCAAAATGATTCATCTGTGTAGGATATATTCTTATTGCCAGAGATGTCACGTATCATCTTGGCTAGAAACACACAGTCACATCCCATTATGGTGAACTCCCAGAGTTTATCCAAATTCTTTCCTATTCTGGAATTTTGTCAGGTTAATATTGCTTGACACACGTGGTCTTAAAATTTTCCATTCTAAATCTACTGCCATTTTGGCATTTGGCTGGATCTGGCCTTATGTGACCGGCATCACGCTGAGAATGTTTAGTTTGTTGAATTTTAAATCTATAATGTTTATCACATTATAGACCTATTGTTGGCCAAGGAAACGTCGCATTAGGGACTTTTTCTAAGATAGTTTTCCTTCTTTTTTTTTTTTTTTAATTTTTTGTTTATTGCAGTAACATTGGTTTATAACATTGTAAAAATTTCAGGTGTACTTTCCTTCTAAATGATGCCATATATTTTAAAATTTTTATTTGATATTGCATTTATATAACATAGAAAATCAAGAAGTTTTGCTTAAATCTGCTTAGTTTAAGCATAGCCATTTTATGTTATAGACAGGCAAATTTAAAAACTGGACAGTTTATTGACTCATAGTACAAAACCCTTAGCACTGCATTTCTTCTTGGTCATTTGAAATATTTATTGGCATTTTAGGACTGGTCATCAAAAAACCAGAATTAAACTTTGGCCCTGAATGAAACATTTACGAACGTGCTCTTGCTTATATTTCATTTTACAATCAGACTCTGAGAATGAAGAGTTTATCTGAGAAATACAGAAGGGCAACCATCCTAAATCCAGGCACTGTTGGCGTTATAAGCGTATTAAGCACCCATTACATGGTGCAAAGTATTTATCGCAAATGGGCCTCAGCTACTAAAATGCGTAGCTTCCTTTCATATTGTGACTAAGTAATTTGAGATCTCTTTGGGCTGAAAATGTACAGAAAGGTTGCATACCGACTGTCAGCAGGGAAAACTGCCATCAACTCAATGCATGGAACATTCCTCACAAATTGCAAGCAAGGGAGTACTGGGCACCTGCAATGCCTGGTCTCTTTCACCATAAATGCCAGATTTTTCTGAATTCAACTCTGACGTCAAGGTCAGTGGTACTCGGTCTCTGTGGAGTTGTGGCACTACTATTTCTGGATTTGTTTTCTAAAGACACTCCCCTGCTAACAGCATCTTTCCGTTGCTTACGTCCTTCCCTGCACCAATACTATCTGGTATATTCCTTTCTGTGTTGACTTACTTACAATATTTAAAACTTCTTTAAAAAGTACAAAAATAAGTTTTAAGAAATTTTAAATGTAATTTATTTTACTTAATAAAATTAAAGAAGTTTTGAATAATTACTTTCATTTTACTTAGTGAAATTGATTTTTAGTGAAATTAATTTTAAGAAGTTTTGAATATTACTATTTTATTTTATTTTATTAATTTTAAGAAGCTCTAAATATTGTAATTTTATTTTACTTAACACAATTAGTTTTTAGGAAGTTTTAAATATTTTATCATACTTTGAGCTCACTGGTAACTACTTAGAGTGTCATAAAACCAGGAATGATAGTCATTTTTCTAGCTCTGACATCCTTTTTCCCTCACCTTAAAAACCTTACTATCTCCCTTCAGTTCCCCACCCTTTTCTTATTCCTGTTTATCTTCCTCACACAAAAACAATCACAACAAAAAACACTGTATTTTTAAAATGAAAAGCTGAAAAAAAACCCCAAGCATGTGACTAATCATGAGCAAAACATCTTAATTTAAATCTTGACTCAAGCCTCCGTGGAAGCTACTAATACCCAGTCCTTACTCACTCTTCAAGGAACCGCCCTGTATTCCACAACCGACCCACGTCGTCTTGGGGTTATTTCAAAGAGGCAAGTTATGCTGCCTTCTTAACAGATTGAATTCAGGAGGAAGTACAGCAGCCTCCCTCTCTGTTGTGTTCGGCAGCGATGAGTAAACTGATCTGGTAAATTCGCAGCTTGCTCACTCTCCGCATAGTGCCCCAGATTTTCCACAAAAGCTACCAGTATATGTTTATTGCCTAGGTCTAAATTCCCGCAGGCCGCAGAGCATCAGGGCGGCATGTAATTCTGCGGCCTTGCAGCCCCGCCAGCCCTGCTTATCATCTAACCATAATGCAGCTGATATTTCCCGAGTAAATTCTGTTCTTTTCTACTACCCCCAAACAGGGAATAAGGCATACTAATGAACTCAACCACACTTATTTCTCAGTCAACAAAAAATGCCACTTCATTTGTCATGTCAGTATCTGATTCCAAATGACATTTTAATTTTGCTAAAGGAATTGATGAGAAGTTGCCACAGAAAAGGGGGAAAGCTAACCGTTTGAATCCTTGGCCAGCAAGAACCCTGCCATGAGGTTTGCTAGGCATGCCATCTTCAATACCAGATGGACAGAGAAACTGAGGTTATATTGTGACTACTATGGCTTTGTTTGGACCATTATATCTATCAGGAAATTCTTGCAGCCCCCAACAGAGAATACAGTGGGATTCTCACACTACCATTTAAAAACATTCTCCTGAGTTCATAGCAGGGACAGGAAGAAAGTTACCTTCCTGTTTATGTCTCAGTTTTTGCTTTCAAAGTTCTTGTACATTTATCATGTCCTTTTGTGTGATGTTCACATCCACTCTACACATTGGGTAGGGAAACTGAGGGTAACAGTTGCTATCAGGGTCCGACCCATGTGTCCTCCCATTCACCATTCTTGAGCTCACTGAAGGCTTCTAACTACAAAGACCAGTAACCTGAGGGATTTCTCTAGCTGCAGGAACGTGCTCAGTCTTCCCTGGGAAGTTCTGGGGAGTTAATGACCCTGAGGAGATCCCTCAATGAATCATACACAGGGTTTCTGGGGACAAAGCTCAGCCTCCAGCTTCCTCACCCCTCAAGGAGGACCTCTCTGAGGAGTGTTCTACAAGGTCTCCCAAAGGTCCCTAGTGGGATTGAGCCGCAGGTGCCCACAGCAGTAACCTGCTCATTAACATCCCAGGAATTGTCTTCCTTCCCTGTCTCATGTCCTCACTCCCATACTGGAGATTCCTGAGCTCACCTCCCAAATAAACTACTTGTATCTAAATCCTTGTCTCAAGGTCGGCTTCTGGGAAAGCCCAACCTAAGACACTGGTGCACAGAGAAGATTAATATCTGAATACCACACAGCTACTTGATGGAGAACCAGAGCTGGAACCAAGGACTTTGGACTTCTGGCACATTCACCAGATGAGGTTGCTTCCTGCTGACCACTAGCAATTTACAGAATTGGTCCCAGGACTTCTGGGCAAGAGGAAGACACTATAAATGAAACAAAGTTGTTAGATGGCTACTCCTTGCTTTTTAGGAACCCGGTCACCACCACCAGCAGGAGAAAACAGAAAAATGAAGGGTAGTAATTACCTAGCATGACGAAAGGGACTCCCAGGAAGGTGGAATTGTATTTCCCACCAGTAAGATTGATGATCCCGGCCGCAGTGAGAGTGGCCAGGCTTATGGTCACCAACCCGAGCAGGCCTAGCCAGGGTTTGCTGCGGACGCAGTCCTGCATAGAGCAGCAGAGGATGGCCATGGTGACCACCAGGATCAAGCTAGTGACCAGGTAACGTTCCGAAACGCGGCTGGTCTTCTGGAAATCTTCCCTCAGCGAGGAAGACGTGTAAGGGTACATTTTGACTTTGCTGTTGGATTTCTGGAATAGTCGGACGGTGTCACAGAAGCTGGACTCCCACCTCTCGGCCACCATGTCATTGAGACTGTTGATTGACTGAAGGTAGTAGGTGAGCTGGACGGCCTCTGCGGATTTCACCCGGTCCTTGCTGTGCACAGTGACGCCTCCAAGCTGGTGCCCGTTGTACACTGCCCTCCCATCCTTTAAGTGAGTGATCGGGTACGTGATAGCAAAATTGGTCCGGTTGGTGGCCCGAGCATTCTTTAGCTCCTCCAGAACATGCACTATGTCATCCACGATGCAAGTCTTATCGTTATTCAGGATACATATGTGGGCGAATGTGTAATTAAAACCAGGCCTTGGAACCTGGATTCTGGTCACAGCAGCATGCAACTATGGGGAAAAAATGAAAGTCAGTGTTTATTACCAAAAATAAGACATTAAAAAGTGACATTAGCTCTGTGGATTCAAATATCTCTATTTTTTGGAGGGAGAGGGTCACTCATGCCATCTCTAAGCTAAAGAGTTCAAATTAAATGTTATAACCTTACGTCAGAAATGGATAGTAAGGATGCAAAACACACATTTGACTAGTGGTCCTCACAGTGTGGTCCCTGGACCAGCAGCATCAGCACAATCTGGGAACTTGTCAGAAATGAAAATTCTCAGGTCCCACCTCAGACCTGGTAAATCAGAATCTCTGGGGTGGGGCCTAGGAGTCTGGGTTTTCACAAGCCCGCCAGGGGATTCTGACATACCTCAAGTTTGAGAAGCTCTGGGTTAAAGTACCAACATTATTTCCAGATGTTGGGTTATTTGTGACTCAGTTGGTCTATAAATGTCTGAAAATCTTATATAGGTCCACCATTCACTCTCCCTCCTAAAAATGTAATGTAAAAAGTGAACTAAGGTGCAATTCCGAGTGCAGAGGCCCTCTGCAGGCCCATCCCTTGTTGCCAATTTGTAGGGCAGCTAAATGATTTCCATCCAATTCAATCACTCTGTGCTGTAAAAGACAAGAGGTTCACCTTGAGGGCCCTCGTATTCTCTGGCTTTCCTCATCTGCTTATGTGGGAAGGGAGCTGTAACTGCAAGAGCCTGGCTGGGATACATGGTAATCATGCTAAAGGAGTACAGTGCGATTTATTCCACATACCTCGCCCTAAGTCAAATTTGCCATGCCCGGGTTCTGTATGCCTGCGATCGAAGTGCACATGGGAATACAAGCACTCATGTAACAGCCCCGACTACATGCCGGGCACAGTTCTAGGCCCTTTATACAGATTCATTCATTTAATCCTTACAAGAAACTATGAAGTAGGTACAAGTACCAGCCTTATTTTACAGATGAGGAAACTGAGACACAGAGAAGCCAAGTCACTTGCCCAAGGTCACACACATAGGGAGAGAGAGAGCTGGACTATACTAGGCAGTCTGACTCCAGAACCTATGCTCCTAGCCCCTCACCCTACACCTCTAGGCTGGCAATGCCAGCAGCTGAAGGAAGGTTCTTGCTAGCAGCTAATTCCTGAACTTGTGCTTTTACTGCCCCACCCCTAAAAAATCACAAGTGCTCAAGTTCAGATATGTAGGAGTATATGTAATCTACAGTGTAAGGTGGGAAAAATAAGGCCTTATCTCTGTGAAATACGGCCAGTCTGCAGAATGAGACCAATGGTTGACATGTAGTTGAGTGTTAAGTAAATGAGTGCATTTAGGACCGTGCCTAGCACTGAGTGGGCTCTCCCAAGAGCAGAGATAGCCATCATTGCATATCTGATGAATGAAGTAGAACATTTCGTGCCTAAAGGGAATAAAGCTTAACATCCAGAGTTGCCATACTGTGGCTGTGCCATTATAACTCATAACCTTCTGAGCGTCTCCATGACCCTGATATATTTTCTCTTAAATCTGCCCTAGATGGATTATTTGCTAAGACATTTTGCTGTGCATGTGCCAGGGTGAGTGGGATATTTATTATGCTTTTTGAAAATGTCTGAGGTGCACCAGCTGTCAGAGTCCTTTAGTTAGCCCAGAGCATGAGTCGTTAATCCTAATTCTCAGGGCTCCCTCCCCCAAATCTCCTCATGGGCACCAACTCTCAGGTTCAGGAAACACTTCACTGTATCACATTTGACTGAAATATTTTGAGTTCTTTCCTTGATATACACACACACACACACACACACACACACACACACACGATCTCACAGAGATACCTAGGAGACTATTTTCACAAAACTCTAATCATATGCTAAATTTTTGTTTTGATGTTTTGGGATTAATGATGAGCAAAATGTCTTGAATGGTTTTAAACTGTGAGTGTGGTTTCATCCATTCTTTTCTAAGCATGGCTCAATGAATTTTGATTAAAGGAACTCTTAACTACACAAAAATTCCAAAATATAAAAGGTTATTTTGGAGGAGAGAAGAACCAAGAGGAATTTAAAGACAAGAGAGAGTTTTGATAAGAGTTAAAAGAAAGACTTTGGGGACAGATTCAGAATAGGCTAGAAAAGGAGTGGTATTGAAAGCATGCATATGTGTAATATTTAGTGCATTGTTTGTTCCCATGAACAGTCTAATAAATCTCCCTTAGAGTGATTACTAAATATGTCAAGAGAAAAAGATTGCCGAATAAGATGGTGTTAAGCCACAGGGCTGAACCCAATTATAGCAAGGGGATATTTTCCATCCATTCTCTAAGGCGACCCACGCCCTGCTGGGTGGGGAGTTGTAAACTATTTAATGATCTGCCAACTCTGCAGATCTACTGCTATGACCCCTGGGACCACAGACCAAAGAAAGCGGACACTATGTTAACCCTTGTATGACCACATCATAGAAGGGAGGCTTGGAAAATGAGAACCTTACTGAAGTTTGAGAGGGACGTTTCTTAACTCTCAGTACCAGAGCTGCTGTGAGATGCAGCTGCTTTGAATTTCCAATGGAGAGGTGGGTAGATAGAACATGTGTCACTCTTGCTTCTGAGTAGCAGGGAGATGCTGAGTGACAAAGCAACCAGAGAGGAGGTGTTGGCTGAGGCCACCCAGCCGGCAGGGGGAGTCTGTGGGATTCTACTGTGGGATAAGAGGTGAGAGGATAATAAGAGACATGGGAAAGGAGAATTGAGGCCCCCTTCTGTAACTTCTGAAACTACTCAGTTCTGATCTTTGGCTCTTATGACTACACACAAAGTACACACACAGTCTACTCTTGGCTGTCCACATAGCCATGGGCAGAGACACTGCACATGCTACCTGGACATCTACCTGTATAGGGTCTTAGAAGTCCCTAGTTTACTTTCCTAAAGGAGCCCCAACCAGGACAGTAGAGACATCAGTAGGTATTATGAGATATATTCACAGGGGAAAGAGGAAGCCAGAGATCAAAGCTATGTTGTTGTTTTTTTAGCTTTATATTTACTTGTAATTTCTGCACTGAAAAAGAAAAAGAAGGTAAAAACGATGACAAGTTAGTTTACAGTGACTTCATCTTCGCCTTTAAATTAATCTTTGCTTTTGGGGGCAGAAGAGGGAAAGAAAGACAGGAAGACATCAATGCATGATAGTGAAATGGTGACCAAGACACCTCAATCCACAAAGTGGACAGCCTTAATCCATGCGAGCATATTATCGAGCTAGGCAAGAGCCCCTCTTCTCAGAAAAGGAGGGGAAAATGACAAAGTAATAGTTCTGACCCCTCATATAGTCTGAATTTGTCCTGTGAATCAATATATAATCCATGTTTCTATAACAATGTGTAGATTTTGGATTATTCACTCAACACACATTCAATAAGTACTCATTAAATCTACTGTGTTGTCAATAATAGGATAATTTCCCTGAATTTAGGGTGCTCACACTCACACATGGAAAATCACACACATAAGAGATACAACCTTGAAAACAAAGGGAAGATCTTAACAGTAGACACCACCAAGAGCTCTGTACTAGTAAAGCCTAATCCAACAGCAATCCCAATCACAACATTTATTATTATTGTATTTGCTGCCAAAGAGGCCAGAACTGAATGTTAAATTGAGATTCATTCTAAGGCTCTGAACACACTGTTTAAATTGTTAGCTTCTTTGTTCTCATCACCCTTCAGGTTAAGAATGATGACAGCAGTCTGCTAAGTACTTTCGATACAGTTTAAAAAATTTATTCAGTATAAGACTCCATGGAAATGATTAAATCATTATTCCCATTTTATAGCTGGAGAAATTGAGGCCTAGAGAATGTCAAAACTTACCCAGGATGACCCAGTAAGTAAAGGGCAGATGCAGGATTCTAAATCAGGCCTCACTCTACAGCGGGACACTTAGCCCTAGACCAGCACAACTTTAGAACTTGAGTGAGGATGAAGAGGACTTAGGCAAGAATGAAGAATTGTCAGCTCACCTGGTTCAAATGACCGGCCATGGATATGACTGAGCTGTGGGGTGGCCACACTTGGGGATCTGGGGTCCATCAAGAGAGACCAGAAATAATCCAAACAGGCAAACCTCATTTTTAGAGAGCAATATTACATGGCAATATTAACAGGGAATGAAGGGGATGGCTTTTGAGCTTACTGACTTTTCTTGTTCTCCATCCAGCCTCTGCAGTTGCCAAATAAAACTTTTCAAAGACAGGCCACCAAGAAAAAAGGCCGTGGGGCACAATGGAATCCAATAATAAGAAGTTTTGGCTTCCAGTCTGGCTTCTGCTGCTTAGGTAGGAGTGTCAAAGACCCTAGGAATGTCACTGTACTTCTTCAGGTCTCAGATTTTTCAGTAAAAAAGGAGGTTGGTCTAGCTAATCTTTATGGAGAGACCCTTTTGGTTCTAACACGACATAATTCTAAGATGTGTGACGTCCACAAACTATACAATCAGATCCTGGGGTGAGAGAAAGTTAACTTAACAAATATCAATTTGAGATTTATTACGTCTGCTTGAAGTATGCTTTTCCAACACACTGAAATTCTTTTTAGGTCAACGACATCTGATAGTAGATGAAACCCAGGAAGAAAACCGCCGGGTAGGGAAAATAGGTTTACTGAAGGAAAAAAAAAAAGATTCCCTTCTCTGAGTGATTTCCCATTCTGGGGAGGCACTGGCTCTTATAATCCCCTTCTGCCAGAGCCTGGGACAAAGCCAGTGTGCGCTGCCGGTCACGACAGGCCAGAGTCTAATTTCCTCTCTGGCTCTCCTTGGCACACTCAGATCTTCCTCAGAAGACAGCAGGGGCACCTTGTAGAGGAGAGTATAGAAAGGATCTGTGAGGAAGGAAGTGTCTGCTCCTCAGTGGTGATTAACATAGGAAAAATACCTGTGAGTTCGGAGGATCTGCTACAATACCTTTCAGTTCTTTTTGTATTTGTTTCTTGTTGAAAATGGGGAGAGGGCA